CATAGGGGCTGAACCAGTTTGCAGCCCCATCAGCAGTGGATGAGTGTTCCCCTTTCCCCACATCCCCTCCAACATTTGGTATCATTTGTTTTCTTGATCTTAGCCAGTCTGACTGGGGTAAGGTGAAATCTTAAAGTGGTTTTAATTTGCATTTCCCTGATTATTAGTGATGTTGAACATCTTTTAAGATGTTTCATAGCCATCTTTACTTCTTCTTTTTAAAACTTTTTTTTCAGCTCCTTAGCCCATCTTTCAATTGGGTTGCTTCTTGTCTTGGTTCTCTGTTTTTTAAGTTTGTTATATATTCTGGTAATTAAACCTCTATCAGATATGTCGCTGGTGAAGATTTTCTCCCATTCTGTGGGTTTTCTGTTTGTATCCTTGGTTGTCAAAGCATAAAACCGGTCAAAGCTTGTGAACTAAAATCCCAGAGACACTCACAGCATGGAGCAGTCAGCAGGCAGAGGAGCAGCCCCAGCACAGCCATGGTCTGATGGAGTCTCCTGGGAGGAGGAGATGGGGCTCCTCAGCCAGGACTGGGCTTTCAACCTGATCCTAGAGGCTGCTTTGCATGTGGGAGGATCCTGAGGAGGTAAGAGGGGATAAGAGGCAGGTCTCCATCAGTATCACCAACTGAGGGAGGTTTGCCTGGTGCTGCTTAGAGCAAGTGGAGACAAAGAACAGAGAGACCTTTTCTTGATTATTGTTGGTTTTACTAATTACCAACAAACATTGATATGGTTCATGTTTTGGGTCCTAGGGGTAAATTAAGGTGGAATGTCTTACAGTAAGAGAGTCTGCATTCATATAGTCCTGGAGGACCAGACTTCAATAAACTCAGCATGAATATAAATCTGTATAAATTTCAGTGCAAGGTTTATGGTGGTGGTGTCTTGTGTTCATGGTCGTTGGATCAGAAACAATGTTTAAAGAGCAGCATAAAAATTCCTTTTAAAATGTTTCAGAAGAGTTGATCATCTGTCACACATGTAGGAAATTCAACTTGATGAGACACACCTCACACAAAATTGCGTTATGAGAATCCAAAGTTTCTTGGAAAAACAGTTTGAGAACCTAATTTTGATCCTAATTTGCTGGGGCAAACCACCCATTTGTGTAAACAAGGAGCATAAACTTGGGACTTAACTCCAAATCTGGTGCCTCCAGGCTGCTTATTTCAGTCCCTCCCTCCCTCTTCCCTCCCTCCCCCCTCCCCTCCTCCCTCCTTCCTTCCCTTCCAGTCCCTATCTCTTCTCTCCTTGAGCACATACAAAACAAGATTCCACAATGTGTTGACTCACTTCATGATGCACAGGGAGGATCTGTTCTTATAAAACCTTCTAACAAACTGATACAAAGTCAAGACTGAGGATCTTCTTTTCAGTTTTATTTTTTATACAGGGTGTGCTTGTAGCACCAGCTGACCTGGAACTAGAATAGACTGGCCTTTATTTCACAGAAATCTGCCTGCCTCTGCCTCGAGGTCTAGGATTAATGCATCAAGCCCAGCTTGTGACTCAATGTTTTTGCTACCTTACATAATAAAGTAAATCAGAAACTATAAGGTATCCAAAGAAGGTGAGGGGCAAGACTTCAGTAAAGGGATTATCTCACCTGACTGTCAGTTCTCCTGAAGGTGAAGTGTGTGCAGACATTACACTGAGCCTTAGCAATGTGCATCATCAGTGTAGAGAAATGAAAAGCCAGAGCCGGATTTAAACCTCTCACAACAGTGGGGCAGCATCTAGCAGAGCTTACGTTCACTCAAGTCCATGTCCCTCCATCCATTTTCAGCTTCTATGACTTGTCCTCCATCATACCTGCTCCAGAATCCCCATGTGTTGTTGCTCTGTGGATGTGATGTTGACGTTCTACTGTCTGTTCATCCCTGTAGGGATCTGCATTCTTCCCATGACCACCTTGTAGTTTTGTGTGTGACGCATGGTCATCCTGACTGAGGACATTCGATGTGTCCTGAATGACCTGATTGGATCTCCATCCACTTCCTCCACCCTGGAGGCCTTCTGTATTTGTACCTGATCTTTGATATGTGAATGGCAGAGGTGGAGACATTCCTCTATTCTGGGAGACAGCCTTCCCTGAGGTTCTGATGGTTGCCCACCTCCATGTGTGCTGGGATCCTGCTGCCTGTGATGCTCTGAGGGTGACAAGAATATTTTTAGACATTATTATGAATGTGGGTCTATTTTTATTTAATAATTCCTACATTTTCAACATAATTTGAGAAAGAATATCAAGAGAATGAATGCTATCAGACCACTTACATCATGTATTTTTTCTAATTTAATTTGATAGCCTGGCTGAATCACTGTGTGCCCGCCTTCTGCAATTCCAGGTTCCATTTCCATGGAACTCTATAGAAGGAAGTCATGCTGCATAGGTCCCAGTTAAGAGTGGGGTTCAGTGGTATATCCATACACAGTACCAATTTCTTTCTGCTTTTGATGTGAATTATTTCCATACATGTTTAGTTATTCATGTACTAATATCAGTGTTCAGTATCCAGGAATGTATACTTATTCAGGATGGTAATTTAAAATCCTAATACCAAACTATGTGTTTTCTTGCATATAGAATCCTAACTTTGGGAGAAGTAGCCTCCTAATAGCAGAGTTTCTGCATCTCCTCAATGCTGAATTTGTCTCTGGTTAATTCCTTGATGAAGGCTTTGTTCAGTGCACTGGTAGATATTTGAAACCATCAACCATTTCTGTGAACAGGATATCAGGAACCATAAATGATGCTACACAAACTTTCTCCAGACAGTGCAGTGTCCTCTGTGAAAGGCAGCAGAGCACGTGGGAACTCACACGTGCAGTGAAGAGGAGAATGATTTTTCTCTATGAATGCCTGAGATGTGACAGCTAATGATAACAAGATCAACTTATTTTCAAGCAAAGCTTTCATTAAGAAATATTACTGTGCACTCTGTCTTGTGAGAAATGAGGAGAAACATATATGCAGGTATCAATGAAGACAGGGTTTCATTCCCAGAGAGAAATTATCCTCAAGTTTCTATATCTGAGATACTCAAGGTGATGATAACCAAGGGCAGATAAATTCCCAAATCATTCCTGCATTCCTGTTCTGAAGTTGAGTCCTTGCACTTGGTGTGTGCTGAGTGCATCCTGAATGTTCTGAGCTTCCATGCAGGGAGGTTCTATGAGGAATCACTCTGAATTCCTTTGGCTGTGACACAGGCACAGAACCTTGTCCTCCATGGTCACTGGTGAGCTTCAGGGAGGACTGGGTCTTGGAAGTGTCTCTGGAGATGGAGATGCGGTTCTTGAGGGATGGGCTGTCTCCAGTGTTTCCACTACTACTTATTTGTTCATTCACTCAGCCTCTTCTCTAGAGGCCGTCGTATCGAGGTCCAGTAGAAACTAGAGTTGATAGAGGAATCTGTGATGGTGCAGGACAGGAATGGTGACTGTGAGGTCTTCACGACGGCAAATCCTGACTCCTGCAGCTGCACCTGGCCCAGACATAACGAGACCAAGAAAAGAAGGCTCTATCTATGTCCTGTTATTAGAATACCCTCCACATGCACACTGGCGACTCACTGTCACCCTGGCTGAAAGTGGACATGATCTGCTGTGAATGAATCCTTTCTTGGGCCTTTGTAGTAAAACCTAATTGTTATCAAGATGCAGATTTTATAATATGGAATCTATGAGATAAGAATCAACTGTATTTTCTTCGGACACTCAAACTAGAAGACTGAAACCGTGCGCATTTCAGGTTCCACCCTATGTGTGGGTTGGACACTAATTCACAGAAGCTGTGTCTTCTCCTTCACATACAAAAGTAAACAGAATGAACTGGAGATGATCTGAGTTTCCGGGCGTCTTTACTGAACTCAACATCACCAATTCGTAGAATTACAGTCACTTGTTGAAAAAGGATGGGAAGCTTTTTCTTAAGTTCATCTCCACCCATCTGACAGGAACCAAAGGCAAACAGGCGTCAGAGGTGCTCCATGGAGAAATGTCATTGTTTGGCTGAATCAGAGAGAATTTTCAAAAAATGGGATTCAAGGAAATGTCACTAGAGAAATTCTGAGCAGGGACAGGAAACTGGAGATTGTAACATTCAACCAGCTCAGAGACCATCTGTGGGCTTGGAAGCACTCAGGGTAGACTGAGCACCCACTGTGTTCTGAGGGATTCCTACTGGTCCCCAGGACCCATGGGTAGTACTGAGCTGCCCTGAAGAGCTTCACTGCCCCCTACTGGCCACTGGCACTTTGATCTGGGAGGTTCTTGTCTGGGCTCACACTGCATTCCCCTCACTGTGTCTCTGGTACAGAAATACACGCCTGTGTCCTCAGGCTGCAGATTGTTCAGTTTCAGGAAAACTTGGCTCTTGGAGGTGTCCCTGGTGATACTGACTCGGGATTTGAGAGCTGAATTATAATCTGTGTCTCCATCACTCCACATTGCACCGATCCATTCCAGACCCTTTCCTGGTGGCTGGCGGATCCAGTGCATACTATTGCTGGTTAGGGAAAATCCAGACACAGAGCAGGTGAGGGACAGGGTCTCCTTAGGCTTCACCAGGCCAGGTCCTGACTCCTTCAGCTGCACCTGGGCCCAGACACCTAGGAACAGAGAGTATCAAAGTCAAAGAAATACGTCAAAGCATAAAACCGGCCAAAGCTTGTGAACTAAAATCTCAGAGACACTCACAGCAGGGAGCAGTCAGCAGGCAGAGGAGAAGCCACAGGACAGCCATGGTCTGATGGAGGCTCCTGGGAGGAGGAGATGGCGTTCCTCAGCCAGGGCTGGGCTTTCAGCCTGAGACTAGAGGCTGCTTTGCATGTGGGAGGATCCTGAGTCTTTAAGAGTGGAGAAGAGGCAGGTCTCCATCAGTATCACCAACTGCCTGGTACTGCTTAGAGCAAGTGGAGACAAAAAACTGACAGACCTTTTCCTGATTGTTGTTGGTTTTCCTAATTACCAACAAACATTGATATGGTTCATGTTTGGGTCCTAGGGACAAATTAAGGGGGAATGTCTTACAGTAAGTGAGTCTGCATTCATATAGTCCTGGAGGACCAGACTTCAGTTAACTCAGTGTGAATATAAATCTGTATAAATTTCAGTGCAAGGCTTATGGTGGTGCTGTCTTGTGCTAATGGTCGTCTGATCAGAAACAATGTTTAAAGGGCAGCATAAAAATTCCTTTTAAAATGTTTCAGAAGAGTTGATCTTAGTCTGTCACACATGTAGGGAATTCAACTTGATAAGACACACCTCACACAAAATTGCTTTATGAGAATACAAAGTTTCTTGGAAAAACAGTTTGAGAGCCTAATTTTGATCCTAATTTGCTGGGGCAAACCACCCATTTGTGTAAACAAGGAGCATAAGCGTGGGACTTAACTCCAAATCTGGTGCCTCCAGGCTGCTTATTTCAGTCCCTCCCTCCCTCCCTGTCTCCCTCCCCCCCCCCCCCCTCCCCTCCCCCTCTCTTCTCTCCCTTTGAGCACATACAAAACAAGATTCCACAATGTGTTGACTCACTTCATGATGCACAGGGAGGATCTGCTCTTATAAAACCTTCTAACAAACTGATACAAAGTCAAGACTGAGGCTCTTCTTTGCAGTTTAATTTTTTTTAGACAGAGTGTGCTTGCAGTAACAGCTGACCTGGAACTGGAATAGACTGGCATTAATGTCACAGAAACCTGCCTGCCTCTGCCTTCGAGTTCCGAGATTAATGGCTTCAAGCCCTGCTTGTGACTCAATGTTTTTGCTACCTTACGTAATAAAGTAAATCAGAAACTGTAATGTATCAAAAGAAGGTGAGGGGCAGGACTTCAATAAAGGGATTATCTCACCTGACTGTCAATTCTCCAGAAGGTGAAGTGTGTGCAGACATTACACTGAGCCTTGGCAATGTGCATCATCAGTGTAGAGAAATGAAAACCAGAGTCGGAATTAAACCTCTCACAACAGTGGGGCAGCGTCTAGCAGAGCTTATGTTCACTCAATCCATGTCCCTCCATCCATGTTTAGCTTCTATGACTTGTCCTCCATCATACCTGCTCCAGAATCCCCATGTGTTGTTGCTCTGTGCATTTGACATTTACGTTCTCCTGTCTGTTCATCCCTGAAGGGATCTGCATTATTCCCATGACCACCTTGTAGTTTTGTGTGTGATGCATGGTCATCCTGACTGAGAACATTCGATGGGTCCTGAATGACCTGATTGGATCTCCATCCACTTCCTCCACCCTGGAGGCCTTCTGTATTTGTACCTGATCTTTGATATGTGAATGGCAGAGGTGGAGACATTCCTCTGTTCTGTGAGACAGTCTTCCCTGATGTTTCTGATGGTTGCCCACCTCCATGTCTGCAGAGCTCCTGTTGCCTGTGATGCGCTGAGTGTGGCAGGAATATTTTTACATATTATTATGAAAGTGGGTCTATTGTGTTTATTTTATATTTCCTAATTTTTCAACAAAATTTGAGAAAGAATATAAAGTGAATAAATGCTACCAGACCAGTTACACCACGTTTTTAAAAAATTCTGATAGCCTGGCTGAGTCACTGTGTGTAGGCCTTCTGATAATCCAGGTTCCATTTCCATGGAACTCTGTAGAAGAAAGTCATGAGGCACAGGTACCACTTAAGAGTGGGGTTCAGTGGTATCTTCATACACATTGCCAAGTTATTTTCTACTTTAGATGTTCATTATTTCCATTCCTAGCTTGTTATTCATGTAGTAATATCAGTATTCAGGGTCAAGGAATGTATACTTATTAAGTTTGGTAATTTTTTAAAAAATATATTAGCTATTATTTTTATTTTATGTGTATGAGTGTATTGCCCGCATGTATGTGAGTGCACCCGTGTTGTGCCGTGCTGCAGAGGTCAGAAGAGGGCTTAGGATCCCCTGGAGCTGAAGTTACAGATGGTTTGTAGCTACAATGTGGGTGCTGGAAATCGAACCCATGTCCCCTGCAAGAGCAGTCATTGCTCTTAACCACTGAGCCACCTCTTCAGCCCCCAGTGTGGTAATTTTAAATCCTAATACCAAATTGTGTATTTTCTTGCATATAATATTCTCACTTTGGGGAGCAGTAGCCATCTTAAAGCAGAGTTCTCACATCTCTGTAATGCTGAAATTTGGCTCTGGTTAATTCCTTGATGTAGGCATTGTTCAGTGCACTGGCGGGTATTTGAAACCATTAGTCCTTTCCACAAACAAGTGATCAGGAGCCACACCACAAATGATACTACACAAACTTTCTCCAGACAGTGCCAGTGTCCTTCTGTGAAAGGCAGTAGAGCACGTTGGAACTCACGTGTGCAGTGAAGAGGAGAATTATTTTTCTCTGTGAATGCCTGAGATGCGGTGGCTAAGGAGAGCAAGATCAGCTGATTTTCAAGCAAAGCGTTCATTAAGAAATATTACTTTATTGACTATATAGACATACACAGGTGCCAAGATCCGAGTGCAACTGATTATGACAAGCAATAATCAGACACATACAGATGAGAGACGCATGTGCCAACATCGCAGTGTTATTAGCAAAAACAATGAGTCTTTCTGTAAGAAACAGTGTTTTACCAGGTTTATACTGAATTCTATATTGTATAACTGTATTAATCCAACAGAGCACCTAAAAATGTTATAGCCACTTTTGAAAGAGATGTATTTTTGGTCTGGAAACTGTTATTGAGTGTGTTAAAGCTGTAATGAAATGCTTCTTCTTAAAAAAAAAAGAAATATTACTGTGCACTGGTCAGTGCTCAACATCCTCTCATGCTCAGGGTCTTGCTTCCTGATGGTGATGCCCACACTGTTCCTGTTGTCCTTCCAGGGTCTAATTACTGTGATGTGTTCTCATTTTCCCAAAGCCTGGTGCCATTTCACATTGGTGTTTTAGGTCCACACCTGCCTCCAGCTCCGTCTTTCCTGTGGGCTGCAGAGGAAACTCATGCTGAGAGCAGCAACTGGACCCTTAGCATCCCAGGTCATCTCACCCAAGGACCTGATCATTCTCAGACCCTGGCCCTGCCCACAGCCCACACAGGACAGGCTTTGACAGACCAACTGCAAGGACTCAAGGTGACGCTGCTGAATACAATCCTTCTCCCCCAGTCTTTGCACAGGCTGAGGCTCATCTTGGGATTGGCAGAGGTGGTGTTTGTGTTTGGCACCTTCTTCTCTATTGGAATATTAAGAAGAGATCTGATGGGTATTCTTTCCATATTTCAGCTTCAGCAATGACAAGAGCAGCTCTCATGGACAGCACAGAGGAGCCCAGTGGATCCATATTCATGATCCTTACAAATCCTGCTGTCAATAGCCGAAACCTTGGTATGTCATTCAGTGTGCACCATCCCAACAACTGTGTGTCCCCACTAAGCCATGGATCACCTCATAGCACAGCCAGGGTGATGTTTGTTCAAGAGAGAGCTTGGCCTCAGGACATTACAAAATGGAGCTGAAGTCTAGCTTCCACAGTACATAAAGGCACAGGCTTCCCTCTCCGTCCCTTTCTCTCTTAGGACCATGATCTTTCCCTCAATAGCCACTTGCAAAGAAGAACCATTGTGAGGAGTGGGAGCCTGTGCCCTGTGGCCCTGATTGGTGTGTGTGTGTGTGTGTGTGTGTGTGTGTGTGTGTGTGCGCGCGCGTGTGTGTTTGGAGTTAGTTCAAATTGAATTTCTCAGTGGTGGCATTGTTCAACTATCAATCTCTTTCTAGGATAAAACACCGTGAACCAAAGCAGCTGAGTGGGGAAACACTGACTTGGTTCACACTTCCAGGTTGCAGTCCACCAATGTGGGATCTCAGGGCTGGAACTCAAGCACTAACTTGAGGCAGAGACCATGGAGGAAAGCTGCTTGCTGGCTTGCTCATTCTCAGGCTTAGTAAGATTTCTTACAGCCCAGGTGCACCTTGCCTTGGGAATGGTACCACCCATATTGGCTGTTCCCTTCTACATTAAGACAAGAAAGCCACTCACAGACATGTCTGCAGACCCACTGGTTAAAGACCTTACTCAAGTTAGGCTTTTTTTCTCAGATGATTCTAGATTTTGTCAAATTGACAGTGCTAACTAGGGCCCTTCACATCTTGTCAATTTGACACACAGACACAGAAGGTTTCACCATAACTTTTCATTCTTTGTTGGCAAGATCTCATGTTAATATTATAAAATAATTCAGTACAATATTAAAAGTCTTACAGTCTTGAAATATTCCAACATTATGAAAGTCCAAAGCACCCTCAATAATTGAAAGTGCCTTAACAGTGGAACCCTTAAAAAACTCTACTTCTGTGTTCTGAGGGGGAAGAACAGAGGGGCCAACAAAGATCAGATAAAAAAGTAAAAAATACAGTTGTGTGATTCCAGAATTTGTTGCTCAAGTTCTGGCTTCAGGGTCTCACTTGTGACCTGGGATCCAATTGTTTGAGTGTTCCTAGTTTGTCAGCTGTGCAGTCTACCACACGCAGAGCTTTTCTTGTAGGCTCAAGCTGCCTACAGTCCACACTTGTGCTGTCCTTTGTGTACACTCCCATGACCTGTGATGAGATGGAGAAAAAAGTCTCACAACTATTCAAAATCCTGAGATTAGATGA